CTTGCTGAGCTGTCACAAACCCTGCTCATCATCCGGAATTCGTCCGGATCCAGCCGCTCCAAGGGAGAGCGCTGCCCCGGCCCCAGCACCACAACTGCCCGTTTATTCCCCTTCTTTGCTCGTAGATAAACCCTCGTGTGTGCATAGAAAGCCGCCGCGATCTTGCGCAGCACCCTCTTGGACCGAAATTGACCCCTTTCGAAGACTGCATCGCACCTTTCCACCCAGATCTTGTGAAAGGCTATAGCAATGAGAGTTGTCTCCGGAAATCCTATCCCCGAGCCTTCTTTCTGAAACAGCAAGTCCCCCAGCGACGAGATTTTCCTTCCCGAGTTGAGGAGGCGGAGAGCTTTTAGCAATCCCTGCACCACTGGTTGGATGCGGGGGCAGCTGAACAAACACTGCTGACTCTTCCCCTCCGCAGTGCGGACAAACCACGCCTTCCAGAAACTTCAGCCGCACCCCAACCTGCAGGTTCCTGTTATGTGTCGCCATCATTTGCATTCACGTCTGTCTGCCTCCCATCACATGTTCGTGCGTTGCATGCGTGGTGTGAGCGTGTGCAAGAATTTGTGATTCGTGTGGTTTGGTTTTTCAGAGTGTGTGGATACGTTATTTGGCTTGAGCAGATATCTGAAGTGACTCCTCTGCTCAAGAGCTTTCCGACGAACCAAGTGTCGCTTCAATCGGAGCACGAACAAGAAAGTTACGAACGTTGGAAGTTCGTATGCTTTTGATATTTGGTTGTGGTGACTATGGGAAGTTGTGGGGTTGACTCCATAAGGGGTACAGACTTTTGGGGGTTGGAAAATTCGTCAACATCACTGTAGATGCTGCCAAGTGGTTGGGAGGAGCCAAACCAGGTTGGCAAGTGTGGCCAAGTTGGGCAAGGTAGATGGCATGGGTTGGAAAGTGAAAAGTAAAAGTGGGGTTCCTATAGGGAAGGGATTTGGTGTGGTTATGGGGTTTCCTTGGTTGGGGACTCCTTGGGGACCTTCCCTCTCGTCCTCCTCTTTCCTCCCACCTGGTTAATTGCTACTCTAACTTCTTTGTGTGGTAATTGTGAGACTCTAATTATTGAGTTAAGTTCTCATGGCAGCATACCCCCCTGTGCGCCGAAATTGGTAAGTCGAGATTTACTTCACCTCTGGATACGATTCAAATTGGGAATTGTAGCCACGGACTAGGGCTACAACATATCTGAGATTGGTGAAGTTTTGACCGTGGAATTTTCGTCGACGGTGTTTCTTGTGAGCGCGACTATTCTGTCCAGAAATTGATACCAACGATTTTGTGATATTTCGGCTCCTAATCTTCATCGACTTCGTCCTTAGTCTCTAACAGTTCCGGAAGTGCAGCCAAAGAAGCACATCGCGAGCACGATTCGGGAGCACCGCGGAGTCCCGCACCCTGATGACTCTCTTCCAGTCAATTGCACACCCCCAGTCTTCCGCCCATTTCTCTTGTTGCAGCATCACCCCTTGTTGCGCGCCAAACAGCCCTCTCAGCTGCTTGAAAGGGGGGAGTTGCCCACCTGCGCATAGCTCCGAACAGCGCAACCGTACCTCCGGCAGACCGCTCACCTCGATTACCTTTCCTTCACGCACCATCAACGGCTCTACTCTATTCAAGTCGAAAACCGACAACCGTTCCGCAGTCCCCTTCAGGGGCTCCCCAAAACAATCGCTTGCTCGGCAGGCAAGCCTTCCCTGGTCCACCGCATCCACCTTCCAGACGCCCACTGCGCCTATTCTTTTCACATGAGACGATGCCTCCAGGAGCTCCTTCCCCGTGATAGGCGCCAGCAGCTTCTCCTTCCATGCGTCCGAAATACACTTAAAAGTTTTCAGCGCCTTTCTCGCCTTCTTGACCGTGCCCAGCTCCCTGGACAGTACCTCTTCACTTTTTAGCGAGCACACTCCATCCTCTACCCAGCTGAACTAGCTCCAGTCCTTCCGCCGCTTTTTGGCGGCCTATCGGCTTCTTCCCGTTCGGCAGGGCCTGGCGGTTAAACAGCAACGGTTCTTGCGCGATGTCCCATCTCGATTTCGGATCTTCCCTCGCTATCTTAGACTTCATGAACGCCTCGCATGTCTTTTTCCACCTTTCGCTCCGCCCCTTCCGGAAATCCTCATGCGCCCAAAAGGAGCGGAAGCCCGCAGGGAGGTCTGCCGCCTTCGTCGCCAACCATCTCCCGATTCCTCTGTTACACGGCACAAACTTCCCCACCCGTCTGGCCGCTAGGCCGCTGAGTTCAACGAAAGGGTCGCACACTCCCAGGCCACCATCCTTCCTCGGTCTGAAGATCAACTCTCTGCTCCACAACGAGAAATGGTGCTCCTCGGATGCCCGGTTCCCAGAGATGAAGTTCACTAACAGCTTCATGATACGCTTCCAGATTTTCTCCGACGGCGGGTAAACCTGACCCTGGAAGGCGAGAATCGGGCTGACGTAAGCATTCACCGCCGCCACCCTTGCCGTCGTGGTAAGATGCTGTGAGCGCCACTTTAACAGCTCTTCCGCCACCCTGGTTAGCGCCTTCTCCCAGGTGACCTCGGCACTCCCGGACGGGGATACCCATACTCCCAGTAACCTTTCTGCTTCTTTGGGTTCAATCCACGTGAAAACTGACCCCTTGTCTTTGCCCTTTTCCAGGTTCTTCCCCAGCGGTAATATCGCCGACTTGTCCTTGTTCACCTGGAGGCCAGAGCGAGCCTCAAACTCCTCCAGGAGTGCTTCTGCCCGGCCAATCTGCTACTTCCCTTTCAGCACCAGAGTCGTGTCGTCAGCGTACCCGAGGTAAGCCAGCCGATCCCCATGGTCATCACAGATGCCTAACTTCCTGCGCTTTGCTTCCTGGCAGATCGGTTCCACCGCGCACAAGAAGAGGTACTGCGCGAGCGGACACCCTTGGCGATCCCCCTTGCAGACATCAACTCGATCTCCCAGCCATCCGTTGACCAAGAGGCGTGTGAACGACCCTCCGTGCAAGCCCCTGCACCAGCCGATGAACTTTTCCGGGAACCCCATCAGCACCATCGTGTCAAAGAGGAAGGACCGCGACACCGAGTCGAAGGCCTTCTGAAAGTCCACTATCATCAAGTACCATTGTTCGCAGCTTCAATCACGTCTGCCACCATCGACACCGCATCTGAGAGCCGCCGGCCAGGGAGGAAGCCGTGCTGCTCCTCCGAGATGACCGTTCCCAGGACCTTCTTCATGCGGTTAGCCAGCAGCTTCGCCACCACCTTGTAAGAGCTTGTCAACAAGGTAATCGGCCTATAGTTCTGCACCAGCTCCTTCGGGCCTTTCTTGTGCAGCAGGATAGTCACCGCCTCCTGCACCTCCTCTGAGAGCACCGCTGTTTCTTCAAAACTTTTAACGAAACCCATGAAGTCTTCTTTCAACAGGTCCCAGTGCCGCTCAAAGAGCTCTTTCGACAGACCATCGTTCCCTGGAGATTTGTCCCGCGCCATACCACTCAGCGCCACCTTTACCTCCTCTTTTGACCAGTCAGCATCCAGCTCCGCTGCTTCATCTTCCCTTAGCGTTTTTCCCACATCTGACTTCCAACACGGCAGGCCTGACGGTGGAGCCTCCGCGAACAGCGCTGCGTAGAAGCCGGATGCAGCCTCCAGAATCCCTTTCATCCCCCTCTGCTCTACCCCCTGCACCGACAGAGCATGAATCATCGTCCTCGTCTTCTTGGACTTCACTTTCCCGGAGAGTACCTTCGACGCAATTTCACCTTTCGTCTCTTCCCTCACCCCCGCGAGGAGGTGCAGTCTCTCATTTTCCCCCTTCAGATACGCCTCCAGCTGGGCCTCCTTCTCCAGAAGATCCGCTCTTAAGTCGTCCCGGTGGGGTTCCCGCATCACTGCATGCTGCAGATCAGAGACCGCCAGCTCAAGATGCCTCAGGGTCGCCCGCACCCTTTTCCGTTCCTACGTCGCGTATCTCCTGAGTGCCGCCTTGAGTTTGGTGAGTAAGGTCCCGAAGTTACCGGATTTCCCTGCACGTTGCCTTTCGGTAACCGCTCTGACCACTCTTTCCACCCCTGCTTTCGCCGTGTCTGCAGAGGGCAACCGCCAAATTCCGGGGCCCATGTGCAGCCTCAGATTCGCCTGCAGCACCACCCAGATGCCAAACTTGTGATCGGAGATCCCCTTCAGCGGGCGCGTGTAAGCAGCTGCCGTCACCGACGAGAGCAAATCTCCCGACACCACGATCCGATCAATCCTCGAGCTGGACTTGGTCGCACGGGCGTAGAAGGTGTATTCCCTACCACCCGGATTCAGCGTCCGATACGCATCCGCCATCTGAAGACTCCCGAACAGCCGCATCAGCCTTTCATTCCCCCCGCACGGGCCACCACTCGGAGACTTGTCCAGAATCGGGTCTTCCACGACATTCAGGTCGCCAGCAAGAGCAGCCTGCTCCGACCACCCAGATTGGACAGAAAAGGCTCCAGTTTCTCCCTGAAGAACGTTGCTCGGCAGCAGGCGCTTGCAAAGAAGTATGCGGCCAGTATGGTGAAACTGTAGGTATCCCATCTCACATCCACTTGAATAAGCCTCCCCGAGGCATGTAGAACTACATTTTCAAAAACCAGCTGTTTGTTGTTGCTGACAACCGCAACCCCCCCCCCCCGCTCTTTCTGCATTCGCCACCGTGATGAAGTGATGAAAGTTCAGCCTTTTCCAGCATTCATGGTCTAAAGTGACCCGTGTGTCTGTAAAAACGAAGATGCCTGCATCCTTCCTTGTCCATCTTTTCAGGTTCCGCTGTTTCCCTCTGCTCCCGAGCCCATTAACGTTGAGCTCGCATATTGACAGTCTGCAGGGCTTATCCTAAACCCTAAACCCTAAACCAAGCGGGAGCCCCAAAACATCCACGGGCTGAAAAGAGGTATCTGAAACAGAGGAGGTTACCACTATATAGCAATGCATACATCACAAGAGGTTCTACCAATAGACCCCCTGACGCTCTTCCACTCTAAGTCACTGAATCCCGTATTCCTTGCGCAGCACACGAAGGCTCAAATTGGCCTTGAGAGCACGCGTAGCAGCACCCTGCTTCGCCAGTCCCTCCAGGTGACGCTGAGACATCGCGTGGTGAGCGGCCTGCTCGAAGGAGGTACCTTTCCCCTTCTCGCAGCATTCGAGCAGGCAGACCCACTCCTCCCTGTTGCCAGACGTCGAGACCAGCACCAGCGCTGGATCCTTGAGAAACATCCTTGACGTTGCCGTGGCTACTGTCGCAGCCGCTGCACGGGTGGAAGGTAAGCAGCTGGAAATCAGGCACCGCCAATCGAGGAAAAACAGCGACAACGCGAAAAGGTAAAAGGAAGACATCATCTCAACCGTTGAGCTCCTGGACCCTCCCCACTGTGAGGTTCCACTTGAAGATGTTGTTCTGCCGTTCAGTCACAAAATCATTGTGGTTGTGCACTGAGTGCATCCCCCCACACAGCGAACACTTCAGCGTCGGGTAATGCACCATAATCTTCTCGCCAGGGGAGACCGGGTTCTCAAAGAAGTGCAGCCACCGAAACTTGTTATTTTCATGCGCAACCACCGAGCCTTTCACCCGATCCGTGTCCAGCCCCGAGACAGGATGCACCGCACGGTGAAAACAGAAGCCAGCTTTGAAGGCCGGACGCTTGCAGATCTTCAGCGGGGAGACCGCGAGAGCCTCATGGAGCATTTCCGGGGAGATTTCCGCAGCCACACCCAAGAACAGCACTTCAATCACCGTCGGGTCAGTAATCTTCCGCCTGGTATAGCTTGGGTCTTCCGGATAAAGCCAACCAAGGAAGATCCACTTCCCATCCACACATTGGTGCTCAATGCGGTTCCTCCAAACAAAGTTAGCGTCCAAAGCAGCAACAAAAATTACTTGCAAACGACCATAAAACTTCTTAGAAATATAGCCCGGATTTAACTCCTGAAAAGTTGTCGTCATTGCCGCGTTCTAAGTGAGCTGGTTACCCCACGCCGTTCCCAGCAGTTCCTTAACCGTTGCCTGCGTGCGACGAACTTCTTGCAGATGGTCGCTTGAAATCAGCAACGTTAGCGGGAAGCGCAACTTCGCCGCGAGCACCTCCTTCGCCTTATCCTCAAAACACTCCTTCGGGTAGTGAGCAATAAGGCCATCATCTTCATCATCCAGGATGCAGAAATGACGAGCAGCGCCAGAGGAAGACTCCCCAGCAACATCCTCAGCAGCAACCTCTTCTTCCGTATCAGAGACCGCATCCTTGAAATCACCGTCCTTTCCTTTGCCGTTGCCTGCCTTCCCTCCAGCAGCTTGCTCAATACGAAGAGCAGCCAGCTTAGCCGACAGCGTCCGAGATTCTGGGTCTTCCTCCGCAAACAGAGTACGCGCGGACTTCGACGGGACAGCAGTGACCAAGGCCGGACGAGCCGTGGAGCCCGTAGACGGCGTCTTAAGCGCAGCAGCAGCAGGGTCCATCTTGTTGGTAGCAGGCTTGCCAGGCTTCCCCTTAGGAGGCATGGCGAGATGATGAAAGAGCCACCACAACCAGCTAAGTGCTGGAAAGTCGAACTGACTGAGCATTTAAAAAAAGCCTCCAGGGTAAGCTCGGGAAGCCTGATCAAAACACCCCGATAGCATTGATGTAAGCTTGAGCTCCATGTCATCACGTTCGGGATAATAATCTTGATAATAGAACGCTGACTCAGCGACCAGCTTAGGACCTGGATCATTGTCATTGTTGTTAAAAATTGCAACCAAACGAGATAATGCCTTGGGAACACACGAAGCAATGTCCTCTGTATGGACATCAAAGTAATATTGCAGTGATCCTCGTTGGACGGCGATGCTCGCTAGCAGGTTAGCAGCTCGAGTAACAGTGTGGAGCACCAACATTGGTAGGCTCCAAAGATCCAGATGGCAGCCATGGCGGCCTTCTACGATGAGTCATTGTCATTGTCATTGTCATTATCCTTGATGCTGCTCTGTTGCTAGGAGCTTGTTTGAGCGACGCGTTCCAGTCTGTCCTATCCCATTATAGACGCCCTAAACCGCAACCCCTGTCCAATGGACCCCACACCATTACGATCCCTCCCGCGCCTGAATTTACTCTCTTATCCTATTTTTCAACACAAACCAGCCAAAGTCTGGCAGATTCAATAAAATAGCATTGTATGCCTTTCGTTTACTATTCGTCTGAGTGAAGTTACCATACAGACGGATACCGTAGTAAACCTTGTCTTCAACATCTATGAACACAAACGAAAGTAGAGGCTTACAAACAAGAGCCCTATTAACGAACTCATGTAACAAATGTCATGCACCCAACCAGCAAAAACCTCCAGTTGACTGATCATTTCACTCTAGAGAAACTACTCGTCTGCCTTCAATGATACTGATACGACGTTGATTCCAAGTTTTGCCAAGGTTGACACTCACAACTCGCCATAAGTGGCTAGCTCGGGCATTTACGGTAACAGCTCGGGAATTTCATTAGGGTACACATATACGCACTTGTGCGAGATCCTTTCCACATATATTGCCTGCACATGGCTGGTTATACTCTTGAAATTGTGTTTGATTACGCTTGAACTCCTTGGCATAGATGGTAACGCATGGTGTGCTGGCCTTGAAGAACTTTGGTTTGCCTTTGGTGCATCTTCCAAGTGAGTAGTCCATGTACTCTGCTTTTACACAAATCTGCAGCCACAGGAGTGTGAATTATTTGTTAAATGAATAAAAGAGAAGAACAACAAACAATAGCAAAACAAGAGGGTGAATAATTTGTGAACATGAATAAAAGAGGACAATTACAACAAACTGCCAAACAGGAGTGTGAATCATTTGCTAAAAAGAGCGAATGCCCCAACCAGCACTACACCTCACCACCATGCACCAACTCTGATTCACCACCATCAGCTCAGCATCACCACCATTCCCTTGCCTTATACCTCACAAATACAAAATTCTAGAGTCGCTGGCATCGATGGTCTCACCTGCACTTGCATCGTTGCATTCGCAGCGTCCTTTGAATTCACAGGATCGCCGCACACTAGCCGAGGGTTTATATGGTAGAGCTCAACCATGGAAAGGCCGCTCATGGAGCCCTTCACAAGCTGCTGGCAGCTCTCCTTGCTCTTCGTGAAGCGAACCTGGACGCTGGGAGGGAAAGCGAGGTATGGACAAGTGCAGGTCATCGGGTACATGAGACAACCCACAAACTCTGCATATGGACTACTGGGCTCAAATAACTCGTCCGAGGGTGGGGCTGTGATCTTATCATCCACTGCTAGAGGGGTGGGCTCTGTCGAGGAGAAATGAAGGGGAACCACTCGAGGATCTGCTGCATCATATGAGACTGCATCACCGTAATGGTGCGAGCATCTCTGTCCCTGGTGAACTGCTCGCCAAGATAGCACTGCGTCTCACCAAGGTCAATGCAAGTGTGCCTCCTCTGAAGTTCAGCCTTCACAGAGTCCAGTGCAGTCCAGCCAGGAGTGGCGAAGACCAAGTCGTCAGCGTAGACCAGGATAAAGAACGGGGTCGAGGTGCGAAGAACGAAGAGTGACTGGCCGGCAGGCGACTGGAAGAAATTAATCTCTGCCAGGGTCGTGCGGAGATTGTTGTGCCACTCGCAGGGAGCCTGGCGCAGCCGCAGATCGGTCAGCGCAAATTCCACTGGGTCCCTGGAGCGAAAGAGTCAGGGAAACCAGGTGGTCAACGCAGCCTGATCTGCTCGTGAAGGCTCCCCTAAAGGAACGCTGCAGAGAAGTCCAGTGAGTGAAGCTCGTAATTGTGTTGTGCTGCAATGTCCAACAACACCCGAAGTGTGGTCATCTTCGGGGTAGGGAGAAGGTCTGGAAGAAGTCTACCCCCTCGCTCTGATCTCGCCACGTAATGCGCCTTGAAGATAGGTGGTGCTCCAGTTGGCCACTTCACCTTGTAAATCCACATGACACTGACGACGTTCGCTCCAAGTGGTAGGATTGCGTCGATGTAGGTGCATGTGGACCTATAAGGTACCAACTCTGCGTCCATGGCTGCTATCCACTGAGAGGCCCCCTCTCTTTAGACTGCCTCCATATAAGTGCGAGGAGTAGGGATGTCAAGGGCGTTTGGGTCCCCCTTAAGGGTAAGCAGTATGGCGCAGAGGTGAGGAACTGCGACTCCAAGGAACTCCAACTCAAAATACATGTCCTCTAGGACCTCCATGCCAAAGGCAGGAGCACCCCGGAGGGACGGAGAACGGGCCGTACCACTTACCAGCTGAGCGACGTAGTCAAGGCGATGGGAGGAGGCAAAGTCAGAGACAGCAGCGTTGAGAACTGAGACCGACTGTGAAGGAGTAGTCGGGTGAGTAACCAACGACGAGAGAACACGGGAGATGACAGGACGAGCGGCACAGTGAGGGATGACTCTCCGACGAGAGTCGGAGAACGGATTGGGAGACACAGTGAGGGATGACGCAGGAGCCGACGAAAGGACCGGAGGAGGTGGAACACGAGAGCGGAGAACAAGGTGAAAGGGACCGTCGGCACAGTAACGAGACGGACGAGACTTTGTGGACACAGCACGACTGAGAGGAGCACGACGAGACCACGGGGATAGGGAAATGTCAGAACTGTGCATTTATATGCTCTAGGCTGTAGTGGGGCACTCCTTATGGCCCAATTAGGTTTTGCTATACAAACCCTGTACTGCTATCATAATAGTCATTCTTGATTCCTACTTTCTGACATGGTTTCAGAGCAGGTTCCCTAGTGGGAACGTTTTTTTTAGGGCCCACCACGATTTTTTTTTCCTGCCCTGCCCGAAGCGCGCCTCGCGCCTGCCTCACCTGCGCCGTCGGGCGCCCTGCCCTACTGCCGCCCGTAGTGGCCCTGCCCTACCAGCCCGTCGCGGCCCTGCCCTAACGGCCCGTCGCGGCCCTGACCTAGCCGCCCGTCGCGGCCCTGCCCTGTCGCCGCCCGTCGCGGCCTGACCTAGCCGCCCGTCGCGGCCTGACCTAGCCGCCTGTCGCAGCCCTGCCTTGCCGCCACCCGTCGCGGCCCTGCCCTCACCCGCTCGTCGCGGCCCTGCCCTGCTGCCGCCTCGTCGCGGCCCTGCTCTACCGCTGCCTCGTCGCGGCCCTGCCCTAACCGCCAGTCGCGGCCCTGCCCTGCACCCGCCCCTGGTAAGCGCCCGCCCTGCCAAGCGCACCGCTGCGCCCGCCTGCCAACCGCGCTGCGCCGCCCAACCGAGCCGTGCCGCCCAGCTGAGCCGCGCCGCCCTGCCGAGCCGCGCCGCCCTGCCGAGCCGCGCCGCCCTGCCGAGCAGCGCCGCCCTGCCCTACTGCTACTGCTGCTGCTACTGCCGCCATGGCTAGCCCTACTGTTCTTACCTTCGATGCTGAGGGTCGTGCGGTCGATTTCGACGTTTGGGTAGATGACCTGCAGCTCTATATTCAGTGCGACTCTAGGGACGGAGTCTCGCTTTTCGATCACACGTCCGGCGCCTCTGTTGCACCTGCTGCCGATGCTGACAGTACGGTTCGCTCGCAGTGGACTACTCGTGACGCTGTTGCTCGCCTTGCTGTTCGTAGTCACCTGCCGTCTGCTGAGCGCGCGCACTTTGGCCAGTACAAGACTTCTATGTCTCTGTATGACGTTGTCGTCGCACGCTACTCCTCCCCTGCCACTGCTGCCCTCAGCCGCCTCATGCTGCCGTACTTGTTCCCTGACCTGGCCGCTTTTGCCACATTCGCTGACCTCATCACTCACCTCCGCACTAGTGACACCCGCTACCGCGCTGCGCTTCCCTCCGAGTTTCGCGCCAAGAACTCCCCCCCCCATGTACATCACCCTCTTCTACCTCGTCACCCGTCTCCCTGACTCTCTTCGCTCAGTCAGGGACCACTTTCTCTCCCTTTGCCACACCGAGCTCACCGGCGACCTGCTCGAGGAGCGCCTCACTGCAGCTGAGACTAGCATAGTCGTTGTAGGAGCTTCTCGCGGCGACCCTCGCGCCTCTTTCTTTGAGGGGTGCTCCCACGTTCCCCTTTTGCCCTCTGTTGCTTCTGCTGCTGCTGTCGACCTCGTTGGCACCAAGGCGGTCGGGGCTGCGTCTGCTCCTAGTGGGAGGCGCCGCAGCGGCAAGGGCAAGGGGGGCAAGGGTAGTGGAGGGGACGGCGGGGGCGGCGGTGGTGGCGGTGGAGGAGGTGGAGGGGGTGGGGGTGGAAGTGGGGGTGGTGGCGAGAGTGGGGGCGTCGGTGGCGGCGGTGGAGGTGGGGGCGGCAGCGGCAGCGGCATTGGGGGTGGCGGCGGCGGTGGTGCTAGTCGGGGTGGAGCCGCGCAGCGTAGAGGCTTTGGCGGTAGCCAGCGACAGCAGCAGCCGCGTTCCCGTGAGGCCCCGTCGCCCCAGCAGCTTCGTGAGTGGTACGTTGGGCGTGGGAGGTCTGGGGGTGCTGGTCCCTGCGCTTACGTTCTCCTCACCGGCGAGCGCCGTGGGGAAACGTGCGGGCTGCCACACGTGACGCAGCGCTGTTTCGGTCGCCTGTCTGACGCCTGGCGCGCACAGTTTCCTGACGCCACTGAGCTCCCTCGCTG